TGTGTTGATATGTATATTGTAGGATGTGGGGGGGGGGGACCGGGAGTCCCCGCGATTCACCCCTCGCAGGAAGAGCGGCGGGTGTTGCTCGATTAAGGAGGGAGAACACGAAAGTGAGAGCGCTGTTTGTTGAGTTTTGGTGTTGGCGTTCTGCTTGGCGCTAAAATACAAGCATTGCTAGAGGGCGTAGATTAACGTAGGTATGGAGAAGACAAGGTAACCACCTAGACCTTGAGACCGGCTCCGCAGAAGGTGCTGGACTTTCGAACAGGCATCGTCGTCCGTTTCGCGGAAAGTGCTGACAAACTTTGTGAACCCTTCCTCCTGTAGGCTAGTGCGTCGGACGTGCTCCGAAGAAAAAGTTGCAAAAGGTGTGTGTGAACGCTGATGAAAAGGAGGTGGCGCCAAGAAATTATTGAACGAAAAGCACGCGAGATGCAAATAACGCGTCCACAACATTTATCGTCGTTCTTACAGACGTACAAATTCGTTCGTGGTTTCGTTCTCGTTGGTTGCTCTCGCGTCATCATCCAGCATTCGAGGGGAACATTATCAGCGGCGTCTGCTCTCCGAGGGACGGGTCGAACCACCTCCTGCTGCACATGGACAGGGCGCGCATCTGGAGCTGGGACCCCGTGACGAAGAAGATTCTAGAGAAGTAAAGCCATCCCCGCCCGACAACTATGCTATCTTGCGCTTCTTTTCCTGCGTTTCGAAAGTATTCAGCCGGTTGTTTTTTTCTCCCACTCACTCCAAAGACTTGACCACATCATCCCCGTTGGACTGCCTTGTGGTATTCTCTCGAACGGATGGTCTTTCTGTGATTGTTTGTATATCTCTTGTGTGTGTATTTTCATAAGCATGAAAGAACGACCTTGCCCGTGTGATGACAACACCCAGTTCGAAGGCATGTACTTGGATGAGCCTTGCAGGGGTGAGAGTTGAGGGAGGCCTGCTGGATGCTAGAAGGCCTATTGGGGGCTATGTCAAGCCTACACACGGAGAAATAGATCAGTTGATCCTGTCTTCTTCCCGTCTGGGATAACATCTTGCGCCAACCCCCGCTCCCTCCCCCCGGCCAGACTGAGACATGGCATTGTGTCACGTCCAATACCGGCCGGTCCTCTCGAGAGGACTTCGTTTGTTCCCACGAGTTTCCTTTATGTGTTGCGTTTGCCACGTCGGCGTCTTTCCGGCCTTCCCCCCGTACCTATCCACGTAGAACACACGCCCGAGTGCAATGAACATCCCCACGAGATTGACACGCAAACTACGTACACCCCGGTATTCACGCGGGCAGGTACGAAGGTCACCACCAGAATCGCTACATCGTTCGATCGACGTTCGGGGGTCTGGACGACCGCTTTGTCGCCAGCGGCAGCGAGGACAGCATGGTAGGTTTGTATCCGCGTTTGCGGTCGGGCGCACCGATGGGCGATGTGTACCGTCGGGTTGTTGTTGTTGTTGTTGTTGTTGTTGTTGCTGCTGCTGCTGCTGCTGCTACTGCTGCTGTTGTTGTTGCCTTTACATTCAAACCGTTCCGCTCTCCGCTCCGTACCTTCACGATCCGTCTGCTAATCCAACTGACGTGGACTCCTTCCGTGGTCACTGCCCAACTACCCCAACAGTGGGGTACAACACCTTTCTAGAAATCGGTGGGCGATGGTTAAGAGCTGTTCTTTTCAGAGTCTTGCTTGGATGAGTATGTTGTCGCCTTTCCGCCGCCACCGCCACCAGCGCACCGCTGGCTTCAAGTGGGATTGTCTCCCGTGTGTGGACAAGCCGCTAGCCTGTTGGATTTAGTCCACATGTCGAAGCCCTCTCGTAGTTGTCGTTGCTACTGGTGTCCTGGGCGAAAATGGCGCGATGAAGGCAAGCAGACGTGACGTACATGGTACTCCGCACTTCTGCTGCTGCTGCACCGTGAAGAGGGTGGTGTGCATGCGCCTTATTGATACAGTGACGTCATGTGCCTGCTCCGCCTACGATTGGAACACAATGACGACGATCATCGCACGCCTGCAGGTTGCTTTCTGCTGGTATCGATGGGAAGGACGTAGCTTTTGAGTTGTGCGTCCCACGCTTACGACGAATCGTTTCACAGCTTGGTTCACTGCTTCGTACGGTGTGTCGTCCGTTTACAAGCTAAATAAGTAGACATCTTGGCTGTCCTCCTTGCAGCGCGTCATATGTGCGCGCGCGCTACACACTGTAGTTGAATTTTCTCACGGCATTACTCGCAAGACGGTAGACAAGCGTCTGGAGAACAAACACCTCTCGCGTTGTCTCGTCCCTCCAACACGCCCGCGAACGCAATCAAGCACACCTGTCAACTCGATTCAGAACCGAACCTCCTCCGACCATGCAACACTAGCCGAATTTTACGTACCGACGTATGATACAGAGCAGTATCCAGGCAAACAACCCATGAGCCAGCATCTGGCAACCCCGTTGTTAATTAATTCTCCCGCTCTCACGACAAACAACCAGGTCTACATCTGGCATCGAAAGCGGGGAGAGCTCATCGGCAGTCTCGACGGCCACGCAGGGACCGTAAACTCTGTGCACTGGAACCCATCGCGGCCCGGGATGCTGGCCAGCGTGTGCGACGACCAGACGGTGCGCATCTGGGAGCCGCCCCGGACGAAGCCCGAGCAACCCCCGCTCCCCCCCTCGCCTCCCGGCGACGCCTCCGCCTCCGCCGCCGCTACTGGTGGTGACGCCGCAGGTTGTTCTACCGGCTATGCGGGCGAGGGGGCGATGAGGGGGGTCGGTGTGAGGTTTGGTAGCGGCAGCGGTAGCGGCGGCGGCGTTGAAGCGCCGACCCCGGGGAGTAGCAACAGCAGCAGCGAGCAGAGGCAACGCGGCGGTGGCGGCGGGAGGGGCGGGGGTGCTAGCCGCGTCAAGGTGAAGACGGAGCTCGGCGTCACGGAGGGGGGACGAGAAGGCGGTAGCGGTAACAGGAGCGGTAGCAAGGGGAAGGGAAAGGGCGGGAGACGTTCCAGCCTTGGCGTGAAGGGTGTTAAAGTGGAAGGGGGCCGGCGCTGGGGGTACGGTCTCGGACACCCTGCCGCCGCCGGCCAGGGGTGGGTAGGGGACGGCGGCGGCGGAGAAGGCGACCACGATAGCGGGTATTCGGCGAGAATCGCGGCGTTGCGATGGTGACACCCGCCCGGGTCGGGGCAAGGGAATGTACATGGTTTAGTAGGATTTGTTTAGGTGGTGATGGTGTAGACTTGTCGAAGGATGTGGGATGCTGTGTCCGTTTTTGGTACCCGGATTGTTTTTGTGTTGTTGTTTTTTTCGCCTTCTGTGGTGTTGTCGTCTTTCAAGTCTTGTTAATACAAACGTTAACTTTGCTTCGCACCATCTTCCCCATGCCCGGTGTCTTGTGCACTGGTGTCCTCTGGTTCCCCCTCCCCCACTTGTGACTGCACGATTTGCACGACCTACCAGAACGTTCGCCAACTCAATTCCACGGCTGGCTTCAGTTCATGGCGTTCAATTCCGCAGGGGGAGAGAGACGACGGACTGACTAAAATACCTGATTGATTTGAGGGCGGGCGTGAAAACGGCTTGGCGTAGTTGTTGTCGCCACCAGCAGCGTCCACAACGCACCAGAAGCATAGTATATGCACATGAAGGGGACACGCTTCCTTGTTCCGAGAGATAACAAACCTCGGTGAGCCGTCTCTCGTGTTCCGAGAGCAACAAACCTTCTCGTGTTCGGAGATAAAACAAACAAACCAAGTTGAGCCGTTTCTCGAGGCTCGAGAGTAGGTTTCACTTGCCCACGTTTTCTTTTTACTTATGTCGTTGTGGGAGAGTGATGCCACTCTCGCTCGCTCGGGAGCCCGGAAACCACGCGATTGCTCGGGCGGACTATCGAGGCGCGAGCCCTCCCACCACCTGTCTCACGTGAATCTACCCCTTGCACGCCTTACAACAAGCCAAGTGTGACCTTCATAGGTGCTTGGGTGTAGCTCCGGCGCAAGCATGTATTACGCTTCCAGTGTGGGTTGGACCCAGCTTGCACTGACTGGTGGAAGTTTCATACGCCATCAACCAATGCATGCGAAGGCTGCATCAAGGTCATGCTCTGTTGACGGGTTAGGTAGCTGGTACGGTGCATTACTTCAAGTGTGTGAACACGTGCACACACACATGCACAGCCCGCCAAGGACTACAATAGTCATATGCATAGTCTTTGCAGCCCCCAGCAGTCCAAAATGGGGGGTCCATAAAATGGACCTCATCCACTCAAACACCTCGAAGCTTGGATTTGACAGTTCCGCGTCGCACGCAAACCAGTATGAAGGTACGAGTTGTGGCTAAATGCCTGTACACACACAGACGTTGCAAATCAACGCATGCGTTTGACTGCTGTGTCTTTGCCCTCCTTTCGGTACTCTCGACCTTGGCGTCAGGTCGTGTTGGGCAACGGCTCCGGTCGGAGCGCTTCCGTACATGGTAACGGGTACTGGTACAGAGAAAAACCAATCTTTGCTCTTCCTCGTCCCTGCCTATGCTCGATGAAAATACGTGTCTTTGCTCGAAGTAGTTGCGACAGACACCTATGACGTCCCAGGGCTTGCTTCCCTCAGAGGCCGTCGCCATACCGCCCTCTCCTCCACACCTGATCGCGCATCGGCAGTAACACCTCTCTGCATGGGGCATTTGCGTGCAGAACGAATCGCTCTCAACGCCCGAAGGTAGACAGGCAGCAGGCAGCCGCGAGGGGTCAAACAGCGAAGCAAATAGTCCGTGGAGACAGCAGTATCGACAAGTGCAAGAAGGACAAAGCGAGAACAGCAACAACAAGTAGAAGAAACACACAGACTGCGGCGATAACAACGAGCAGGGTCAGCAGCAGCAAGTACCGAGCATCAGACGAATAACCCCCTCTCCCTTCCGTAGATTAGCCACAATCAATGGTGGTCGATTAGATTATGTTGTGCGGGGTCGAGAAACCTCACTCCGCGCAAAGGGGATGGTCACACAACGTTGTGTTAAAATGGTCAAGCGCCCTCGGGGCAGTTACACAGTGCTTACAACTGTCTCTGGAAGTGAAAGCACCACAAACAAAGTAAAGTCATTCGCAGCTGTCATCCGTTGCAAGGAAGTAAGCACAACATGTCGTACACCCTTAGCAGGATGCAGCGCACCCTCCATGCGACTCGCCGAATACCTCGCGGCGCTTTGCGCTTGGTGATGTGAGAGCCTGGGCCGGTGAGAACCCGGCGTGCTCCGTCCCGGCTTTGTACGGATGCAAGGGCAATGGTCTAACGAGTACGGCAAGCACGACTATGAGTACCCCCCCCCTCCCCCTCCCTTCCGTAGACAGGCATGGCGGTAGTCTACTTTCTCCCATTCGCTCTCCTCTCAAGGTTGAGACATCGGCCAAAAACAAATTATACTGGTTTCATGTCGACTAGGACGTAGAATTACCATTTTCATACAGCGCCCTAGAAAATATCTCTCCTCTCACCGTCAATGATGCTTCCGGCGCTCCCGTGGTGTCTTCGCCGCTCCCCTCAGCCTGAGCCGCAGTGCTCTCTGTGTCTCGCGCTCCTCCTCCTCCTCCTCCTCCTCCTCCTCCTCCTTCCATCACCATCCTCCAGGTGAACACAGGAAGCGATAACACAGCCTCCATCCGCGAGAGAGAATATGCTGACAAGATAAGCCCCCCGCTGCCCTTCCCACATTTTCCCTCTTTCGACGAAATACACCCCACCCTCCAGGGGCGAAAGCTTAACAGTATAGGGACATCGCCCGTATCCTCAGGCAGAACCCGGAAGACCACGACCTTAACGCTCTCGACGTCCTCCTCAAGGAGGCCCGCTCTAAGGGCTACACCGGCAAGAAGGTCGACGACGGGAGAGACGCCCTTGCCTGGGGTTCGAACCCTGTCGAGGCTGTGTTCCAGCAACAGGCGGCCCTCCTCGAGGACACCAAGTGCGCCAAGGTCGCCAAGGCTTGTCCCGAGGGTTCCACTTCGCTGCTCGTGAAGAAAAAGTGGTTCGACCCTCGCAGAGGTAAACACAACATCCGTTGCATGTACCATTTTTCACCCTTGATCTGGCTGTCCCCATTTTTCCACAACCAGAAGAAAAGCCTGTCCAACAGGCAGCTACCGCAGTAGATACGGTTGATCCTTAGGGCGCACCGATGAGCGACAAAAATAGAGGGGAGCTCAAAGAGTGGGTTGACTGGGAGGGGTACTGTAGGGGAATATTGTACTTGTTCCTTGGAGGTTCCGTTTTAGCGCAAGAATCGTGTGTGTGCGCAGACGGCACTTTCTGGTACATCAAAGTATCTTTTGGACAGCTGAGGATGCATGTGAGAACGCTACAGCGACCATGCAGACAATGTGATGGTTCACCTTGCTTGTTCTTTCTCTCAGGATCGCTTGCTTTTTGGCGGGGTGAAAGAGAGAGAAAGAAAGGGGCGGTGACTGGAACACGGACTTATCCATGAAAACACTAAAAGTTCTAAGCTGGTTGCTCGTGCTAGCTCTAAGTTCGGCGGCGCGGCATCCCACTAGCGAGGAGGCTTGGAGCGCACGGTAGATCCAGACGGCACTGCTGCTATAGGGTATCCACACACAAAAACACGTGCCACACAACAACCGATGCAAACCAAAATAATGAGGGCGCTCACCGTCATGGCCTCCTGCAGGCCCCCAGACACCGGTGCGCACCCGACGGGGGTGCACCCACCGAGGACATTCCTCTTCAGTAGCATAGTCTGTCCCTCCGGGCATGCCCCCTGCAGGGCAGGACACCTTGCGGTGCGCAGAAGGTCGATCATGTGGGACATGATCTTGTCGTCCGGCACCGGCAAAGATGCAGCTGGGGCTGCGAATGCAGCCAAGAGCAAAAGCAAGAACAAAGACATGAAGCCCTTGAGGGACCCCATGTCTGGCGCCAAGTGGTTTGACCTGTCGCTACAGCAGCAGATCTATCCCTGTTGCCTCCGAAGAGCCACAAGCAAGGTCTGTGCCGTGTGGGCCGTGGATTGCGGCCAGCGGGGGGTTCGTCGGATGGGATGGGGGGCTGCGGGTTGGGCGGAGGGCGCGGAATTTGTTTCTCCGAAAGTGAAGAGTTACACCGCAGTAATGGCAGTTCGCTTCACTGGCCTCTCGGTCAAGGACTTGAACAGACCCAACTAGCCCGCACCCAGCAGGTCTCACTGCGTCCTCGTTGCAAAGACGTTAACACATTCCCTTAGAGAATGTACCCGGGGCGGGTAGTCTTTCTGTGATGGTGTGTCAGTCCGGTTTCGAAAAAGATACAAACGCGTGTAACCGTCAAACCGTCTGTGGACCTTGCTATAGCTCGGTTTGGGGTGTGAAATCGGGGTATGCTGATAAGAGGTCACCCAAAAGGTAGACCGCTGTGCACAAACTGCAACTCCTTACCTCTCTATCTACCTGCTACCCAAAGCATGCCCCGAGAAATCGCAATCCGACATGGAAAACGCGTTGATTCAGAAGTCGGAGTCAACTTGCGGGGAAAAACGCAAGCTCGTTGCAATCGTAATCTAATCTTGCTTGCTGCTACTGCAGCATCATCATGATAGACACTTGACCAGTTTCTTGCCATGATACGCCAGTGTTTCACCCGCCGCCAGGTCAGGCTCACTACATCTTGCCCACTCTCTGGGGACTGCGCTGGGCTTCGTGGTCGAACCATCTGTGGAATGATCAGCTACAGTTAGTTGTAGTCACAGTTAAATAATAGTTGTAGTCACGTTGGAAAGGAACATGACTGCCGTGAGCAAAAACAGGGAAGCCGGATGCACGATGGATGTCGAGTTTGAAGTTAAGAAATGGTCTCTCGACGAATTCTGTGACTGGGGCAACAAGAGAAATACCGTAGACCAAACGTCATTTGTGAAATGTGGTAAGCGATTGGTGTTTTTCTCCAGTTCGCCAGAACAAGATTGTCCATCATGGATTGACGTCATGCATTGAGAGATTCCTTTCTGCGGCTTCGGCTTGCAGAGGTATAGGCGCGCGCATTTACAGACTACACGCTGCCGTCACACCGCAAGGTGCACTCAAGACGGGGGCATCTCTCCCACGAAGGAAGCGACCTTTAGGACTACCTTCCTTTTATTTGGTGTGAAAGTTCTAATTGTCCACCCTCGTGAAACATAGATTTCACGACGATGTCTCTACATTCTTCTGCTGCAGGGACGGTTCTGTGATCATTATTCTTAACACTACCCCGAGGAACTGTTAACACCGTTGTCTGGAAGTAGACACGGACAGTACGAAAAAAGAGAGGAACAATCGCACCGCACTAGAGGCACCCAAGACCGAGAGGCGGAATAAGAAGGTCCGAATTCGACGACGACTGCAATCGCCCGACGAGTACGAGAGTGGGCTGCTCTACCCGCCTTTCCCCGCCAAAACGACAGCGCTACCTCGCCAGGGCTTGTCAACCACGACACACATGACCGGCAGCTCACGAAGCTGAATTCCAACACTAATTCCGCCATAAGACTTGGAAACCACAAAGGTCTCCTCTTTTCAGTCCCTACTCTGTCTCTTGTCGATCTCTGCCCCTCTCTCAAAATAGACCGTTCCCACGCCGCTTTGTTCTCTTCTCCGTCGCGTACGAACGAGTCTGGCTCCTCCTGCAACAATACGGCCGAGACACGTCCTTCACAATTTATTCAGGCCGCAGCGCCGGGGGGTGGGTTGGAAAATTCCCCGGAGGCATCGTCGTGGAATCCGATACAGCAACCGGGTACCGCCATGAAATCTTCGAACTCGTACTTTACCTTGTTGTTTGTGGGTGGCAGAGAGAAAGAGGGAGGGAGGGAGGGAGGGGGGATAATGGGGTGCATGAACGGGCAAGTACAAAGGAACCCTTTTTTTTATTTTTTTCCCGTTCCCTTTACTAACCCTAACCCTAACCCTAACCCCCCCCCCCCCCCCCCCCTCGGGGTTGGGTTTTTGTCCCTTGGGAAAGTTTTAAAAAAAACCGCCCCCCCCGGGGTTTGGCCTCGGGGTTTGGGTTTTCGTCCCTTGGGAACCACCTTTTAAAAAAAACCCCCCAATCGGGGTTTGCCAACGGGGTTGGGTTTTCCTCCCTTGGCCAAGAAATTTTAAAAAAAACCAATTTAATTTGTGAAATCGGCAACCAGGTTACCGGTTTTTTTTTTTTACCCCGGTTTTTTTTTTTTGGGGGGAACCAAAAAGGGGGGCGAATAAAAAAAGTTGTGGGGGGGCGAAAAACCTTAATCCGCGGAAAGGGGGAAGATAGGAACAAGTTGGGGTAAAAAGGGAAAACTTCCTCAAGGGAGTTACACAGTGGTTAAAAATGTTTCTGGAAATGAAAAGGCCAAAAAATAAATTAAATTCAAAATAAGTGTCATCCCTATCC